ATTTCTCTGTCGTCACAATGATTACTTATAGTGACAAAGTATCTTTCTATCTATGCCTTCCGTACAAACATCAAAATATGTTCATATGCTGGAGCACGTCAGATAAAGCAAAACTCCTTAAAAATTAAGTTCCATGACGTATTGCACTGCCCCCTTATCCTGGTTCCCTAGGGTGTCTTTAAACAGGCTATGGTTCCATAATATTTGAGCACCTGCAGTGCCAGCCGCCTCTCGCATCACTTTGTTCGCTAGAGGGCGATACAGTACACCGTGAAATCTGGTCTTGGAGTCATTCGTTCAGTCATATGACATATTCGGGCGTACGAACAACTTATGATGTTTGCGCAATGGTATATAAGGAGTACTAACCCCCGAAACTAACTCAGTAGCAAACGTGAGGCAAATCTAAGAAAATGATGCGACATTCGTCCGACCCTCCAGATGTTTAAATATCATGGAACCGTGACCTGTTTAAATCTAAATGTGCCCCCCCGTCTTCGTCTGATAAGCAACTAGTAGCAAAAGGGCGGTGCAGCACGAAGTTAAATAGGGTTGTAGCGAAGTTATGCGTTATTGGACAGTTGCATGACATGTAAGTTACAACAGCATTATTGGGCCAAGTTTCCTATCATCGTTTATCCAAGACGTAAAGGACGTTATTCACTCAATTTCCACATTTCCACCACCAGGTGTCATCTTACTAAGTACTCTTTCCGCCTTGTTCATTAGTCGCCATTCGCCTCAAAGGGTAGAACAAACGATGGAATAAAATGTTTGTGCACTTCAGTTGGGGTCAGAGTACAGAAGGAGGATCAGAGTATTTTGTTATCTTTGCAATCAGTGTCCTCATATGAGCATATCTGTTTTAAGGGCATGAGGGTTCTCTCTTCCTATTACAGGGGCTTCGCTAAGCGACCGTTGCGGGATTCATGAAAAGCCTTCACGATTGCAGCAGCGGCTTAAGGTAAGCACCAAACAGTGGGACGACTTATTATGCGATGCACTATTTTGGCTGTTGCTCATTCCATGATCATAATGGGAAAACTACGGATGGAATAAGAATGACGTATGAAATATTAACAGTGCAATATTATATCCAAAGTGAGAATATTTTCCCTATCTATAAATATTCTATAGAAATATTGACGTTATGGATGAAACTCGGCCAGTCTTCGGAGTTTACAGCGAGCTTTGCACGACTTCCTTTTCATGCGGGTCTGGTGGATTGGTGTGAAGGTTGATGAAGCACTTTTTGTTGATTCAAACCGACCGTTCAATGCGATTGGTCCCGTAAATGCATCGCTGGCAACTGCTCCAAGGTTGTGGTTACACCGGTGATTGCGTGAATCGTTATAGCTTCCTTTACTTTACGGTTAAGACCTTGTTTTCCTTGATTGACGCATACGCCGTTCAGCTTCTCCCAAGTCAGGGTGTACTGATGGACTACAGTATGCCGCCCTGTAGGGCAAATTTTTGCATTCCGCTTTGATCACCTTTGAATCAGTCGGTTGCTTTCGTCCTCTGCCTACTTGCTTGAGACTTTATTTTCCATCATAAGCCTTGTCCCATTCGATGAGATTTCTCATGGCTCGGTCCTCATTCCCTTAAGGGTGTCGTCTGTTTCGTCAATGTGCATTGGCCACATGAACAGGGAGCTGGTACACCTAACTTTGCTTCTATTCGTCCGTCCTTTAACTGATTGAAGCGAGGGCGAAGTGTTGCACCGGGTTTGAATATAATTTTTATATTTGCCGAATATGCATTATATAATTAATTTTTGCTCGGCATATGAACGTATTGCCAGGCGAAGTAGATCTTACCGGTCGACGAACAGCGAAAGACGAATTGTCATTATAATCTGTCAGGTCTTCATCGAGCGTCTTCATCGGGTAAGCGATTTTTGCACACTCAACCTGGTGCGATTTAGCACGTTGTAAAAATCACGTTCCGTGACACAAATCTTGCGCCTCTTTGGAGCAGCGTATTGGAAGCAGTTTTCGTTACGCCTCTAGATTCATCATATGTGACTCATGTCAGATACCGCTATTTGCTTATTTTGCATAAAATTTCCCTTTTCAGACGACAAGAACGGGTTCCAGTGTGAGCGCTGTGGCAAAGTGTTCACTTACAAGTACTACCGTGACAAGCACCTGAAATACACGAGGTGCGTCGACCTCGGCGACCGGAAATACCCATGTCATTTGTGTTCGAGGTAATGTTCTGCTTCGCATGTCCTCTTGATTTTCAGTCATCGCTCACAAGACGATGACTACGTTTTTCTTAGGTCATTCGAGAAACGCGATCGCTTGCGAATTCATATTCTACATGTGCACGAAAAGCACCGTCCTCACATGTGCACGATTTGCGGCAAAACATTTTCACAGTCATCGAGCTTGAACAAGGTACGAGAAGGGCAGTCGATCAGTTTGCATTTTGGCACGATTTTCAGACACATAAGCACAATACTCATAACGCAGACGTTTGAAGATTAACAGCTTTTGAATCTACTTACAGTCCATCATTTAGAGATGAAAATGTGTCAGACGCTGAAGGCTTGTATTTCTCGAAATGCAATAATTATTTAAAAAAATAATAATTCTGTCGTGTTTAGCTTAAGTGATTGACAAGGGGGGTCAACAAAGAGGACAAGTAATCCTGAGAGCACACAGACTAGCGTCCACAGTCACTTAAAAATGCAAAGAGAAGGATAGAAATTAACACATTATTCCTTGAAATGGAAGTTGTTCAATATTCAAGTCAAGACCTAGTAAACGTGGAAGGCAACCATTGTAGACGATATAAGCTTGAATTTAGCTTAACGA